TAGCTGCTGTCTTTATAGTTCCACTGCCCTGACCAAGTGTCCACATTCTGAATGTATAGTGTCCATCCCTCCTGTAGTGGCTTTAGCCCAGGGTGAGCCTGTCCTTTCAATTGGAGAAGGGTGCAAAGGTACTCCCTGTGGGAAGGCCAGGAGTGCTGATGGCTCAGCCATTGGAACCACCTGTTCCTGTCCCACCACTTCCAGTGGGAGCCACAGGGAGGCTGGCTAATGGGTGCCTGCGATTGATGCTGTGGCAGAGACTCGTGCTGCCACTTCCCTCCCACCAAAGATGGGGCTGTGCCAGCTGTGTGCCTGTCCCCACTCTCCAGCAGCCATTCCCTGGCTTCCCAGATTTAAAAAAGGAAGGAAGAAAGAAAGCAGCGGGTGTGCGGTGGCTCACATCTGTAATCCTAGCACTCTGGGAGGCCAAAGAGGAGAATTGCTTGAACTCAGGAGTTCGAGACCAGCCTGAGCAAGAGCGAGACCCCGTCTCTATTAAAAATAGAAAACAAATCAGCTGGGTGTGGTGGTGTGCACCTGCAGTCCCAGCTACTTGGGAGGCTAAGGCAAGAGGCTGGCTTGAGCCCAGGAGTTTGAGGTTGCTGTGAGCTACGCCACTGCACTCTACTCAGGGTGAGAGAGTGAGACTTTGTCTCAACAAAAAAAAAGGAAGAAAGAAAGTAATGAGAACAGGAAACTGTATTGTGTTAGGGGGAGGTGGGAGGGCAGATGTGAAAATAGTTTGGATTTTTTGTAAGGTTTTTCTGGGTTTTTTTCCCCCCATAGTTGTAACTTTCCTTAAGTGCTTTTTTTCTTTTTTTAAAGTAAGTTGTAGGCTTTGGCTTGGAAAACCCCGAGGGATGGAGGGCAGAAACCTGAGGCTGCTGCCCCTTTATCTGCCTTCACAGTACTGTCCCCTTCCCCTAGCTCCTCCCTGACCCCATGAGCCAGGCCTCAGACCTTCCAGCTAACCGCTTCCCATGAGCCACTACTCTGATGTCAGCCGATAGCCAAGGGAGCTGGGGTCTAGGCCTGGTGACCAACCCCTCTCAGCACACTCAGTCAGGATAAAGGTGACACTTGCAGGCAGAAGGTGACACCCTATGTCTATTAGCCCCTTCCAGAGCCCCCTGCCCAGCCCTGCCCTGCCCCATCTGGGGTGCTCTGCTCAGGGGTGGGTCAGCAGGGCTGTTGTCAGCCTCCCGGGTAAGCAGAGACTCAAGAAACCTCTGGGGTCCTGTTTTGTGGTCATGTCATCCCAAGGGTGCACTTGGGCCCCTGGGTGTCTGAACAGAATAGCATGTGAGGGAAAGTTGTAGCCCTGTAGTCTTACTCCACTGGTATGGTGGGCAGCTGCCCACCTCTACCCTACCCTGTACCACATGCTTCCGAGTCAGCATTTTTTAAATTGTATTTGAAATACATGTTTTAAATTTGTCACAAAAATTCACTGTTAACATTTTAGTATATATCCTCCAATCCATACATAAGTATATGTGTTCATACATATGTAAGTACACAACACTCGTGTATATTTATTAAATTAGATCACATTATATAGTGTTTCCCAAATGCTAGTCCGTGGGCCTTTTGAATGGGAATCACCTGAGAAGCTTTTTGGAAGTGGAAGTTCTCAAAAGCTCCATCCCAGATTGAATGGTCTGGGGGTTCTGATGGGACACTGCATTACTTTCTGTGGCTACAGGGTAGTCCAATTCTGTAAGACTTGCTAAGTGATCGGTTTTTGTCTCTAGGAAAAGAGAGGAAACAAAGCATCTGATAAAGCCACTTTCTTGGCCTTCGATGCCCTGGTGACTTTCTGTGAAGAATTGGGGTAAGTGACTTATTTTGTATGTGGAGCAAAGTGTCAGTGAGGTCATTTCTTCCCCTAGTACACACTAGTTAACCAGCTACCATAAGACAGCCCTTGGGCCACCAAGGGATGCCTGCCTGCAAAGGCTGTTGTGTCAGGCAGCATGAAAATTAGGACCTTCCTCTTCTCTTTGTGAGGCCCCAGAAACTGTGGCAGTGTGAGGATTTATTCAGCATTTAGGGTAGTCACCTATCCCCCCAACCTACCCCCCTTCTTGGATGGCTGGCCTCACAAGCAACTCACTCCTGAGTAATATGACCCAGTTCTGAGCCATTGGCATTGTGGTCATCATGTGTCACTGAGCTGGCACTTCTGGCTTCACTTGAGTAGTACCCACTCTTGTCCAGGACCCGAACAGACACATGTGACCCAGCTTATCTCATGTGCTTTGAACCTGCTATCTATTTTATCTGCATCTGCAGGTGACGGCAGGGGCTGTGAAAGGAGCCTGATGGCCCCTCAATGATAGGCTGTGGCTGGACATGTGAAGCTCTGAGTGCCCAGATAAGGGACACCCAGGAGGATTTTCGACACTTGTGTTTAAAAAGCTCTTGGACTTACTGGATCTCATGGAAGGATCCTGTGAGGAGATGAAGCAGAAGTGATTGCTTCAGGTTTAGAGATGAATAAATTGAGGTCCAGAGAGGTCATGGTCACAAAGCTCACAATAGATGGAAACCACTAAAGCCAGGTCTCCTGATTGGCAGTGCTCATTTTCATATACGTGTGCCATCTTGGTTTTTGCAAGATTAGAGTCTTGAAGCACAATGCTGAGTAAGTACATCGTACTGGTGTCTAGCATGTGTTTTAGGCTCTCCTTTGGAAACCAGAGAGGCTTTTATTTGGGCTGTATTTTTTTGTTTTGAGACAGGGTCTCGGTCTGTTTTCCAGGCTACAGTGCAGTAGCATCGTCACAGCTCATGCAACCTCGAACTCCTGGGCGCAAGGGATCCTCCTGCCTTAGGTCCGAGTAGCTGGGACTACATGTGATTGCCACCATACCTGGCTAATTTTTTATTTTTTTAGAGATGGGGTCTCAGTATTGCCCAGGCTGGTCTTGAATTCCTGGCCTCAAGCTATCTTCCCACCTCGGCCTCCCAAAGTGCTGGGATTACAAGTGCAAGCCACTGAGCCTGGCCTGGGCTGTGTGTTTCAATTCCTACCTCCCTCCTATTCACTAATGAATCAGTGGCTCCTGGACTGAAGCTGTTTTCTTCTCCAAACAGCCATCTCTAATTTGGCCTCTGTGGCCAGACCAGACCCAGCAGAAGTGGTAGGCTGCAGTGCCAGGACTAGCCTTTCCTGTAGCCATTGCAGCCAAAGTCCTTTTCAGGCACTAATACAGGGAGTTGCTAAATTTGCCTTTCTTAGGCTCCTTGAGCATAGCTCTCATTTCTGACAAGGAATGCAAGGTTATTGCTGTCAGAGTCTCCTCTGCTGGACAGAACCCTGGGGCTGAGTCTGAGGCTCTGGAGGGCTCTCTGGAGGGCTAGCTCTGCCGCATCCCCAGAGGCTGCCCAGCCTGTCAGGCAAGGGGACAGTTCCTCCCAAGGGCCTCTGCCTGTATTTCTCCTGTCTCATTCCAGGGAGCTGGGACTTCTTAGTGCATCAGTGGGCCGGTTGTGGGAGTGGGGTCTAGGCATCTGTGGGCCCAAGCAGTCCAGGTGACCAACTCCCACCGCCCCATGTGCAGCTCATACTGCTGTCTCATTTGCTACACGTGCGGGGTCTGGATCTAGGCTCCAGGCTGGAATAAACACTGTGGGTGTGTCTGTAGCGGCCATAGCTCTTTGAATGAAAGAGGATGTCTGTTGCATGAATGGTGTATAGCATTCCTTTCTCTACAAGATAGTTACTCCTTTTCTAAGAATAGTTGTGGTTGGAGGTTGAGGTTGAAGAAGCTGTTCCCACCAACGATCCCTCTGGGTGGACACCTGGCAGCAAGGGACAGAGCCAGTGGGGTGGGTTTGGCAGAGGCGGGTACACTTCTACAAAGAAAGCTGTTGTGGGGTCTGGGTGCATGGGGGTGGGGCACCAGAAATGATGCTCATGGCCATTATGCCTGAGGTGGGGCTGGACAGCCAACAGTTTTCCCTCTTCTCTGCATATGGCTACTCTCTCTAGGCTGCAGCCTTGAAAAAGCTGTATTTATTTGTTCATGACAGGGCTTTTTATCTTTTAGTGTCACAGGGAACAGTTACCAGGTTTGAAGCGAACTCTGGTCTAGAGGTCCTTCCTTTGAGAAGGAAGACCAGCTTTGTGTGTAGGCCTGAAGTGAACTGGGCTCTGTGGTCTCCTGGGATCTCTGGGCTGGGGAAGCCCACCAGCCCTGCGTCGTCCTCCTCATTTGTTCAGTTATTTAGCCAACAAGCACTGACGGATAACAGCTCTGTGCCAGGCACACTGGACGTGGGGGAATACAATGCTGAGCAGAAAGAGACCCCTCCTGCTTTGACGGTGCTTGATCCAGCAGGGAAGACAGGCATTTATCAGATAATGATATTAAAAACATGTAAGTTCTGTTAAATGGGGTTTGAAGAAAAGGTACATGGTGATTGAGTGTATATAACAGATGGCCCTACCCGAATCCCAGAGGGTCCGGGAAGATTTACCTGAGGAAGTCAGGTTTAGCCTGAGGTCTGAAGGATGAGGAAGCACTAACTATGGCAAGGAGTGAGGTGTGGTGTGAAGGAGAGCATCCCAGTCAAGGGGAATTGCATGTGCAAAGGCCCTGTGGTAGGAGAGAACACACCATATTCAAGAATTGAAACACATGCCAAGAACCCAGGGGCAGGATGGCTGGAAAGACAGACAGGGCCAGACCATGCAGCTTCTCTAGGGAAGCTTGCTCTTGGTCTAGGTAGAAAACGAGCTCTCACAAGTTAGCAGATTTGAAAATGAATTTTTATTTCATGTGGTTGTTTGTGTCTTTCTCTGTCAAGGATTTGTGAAGTTGCTGGCTGAGCCTGTGATTCTGTTAGAGGACCTTGTTAGCTATTGCTCATCTCACCTGAGGCAGCGGAGAGGCGCTCTCCTCGTGATTTCAGAGTCCTAGTGGCAGCAGGGAAGGGGGGTGGCCAGCATTGGTCTCAGACCAGCCTCCCCATCTTGCTAGTCAGATCGAGTATTTGACTAGACACTTTCCTGGTGGGAATAGAAGATGCCAGGGCTTGGCCCCCAAGCCAGAGGGTACTGTGTGGGGGCCCACTGCCAGTATAGTGGGGAGAAGGTCAGCTCACTTTCCCTGCTGCTGTCTCAGCCCCCAGGAAGTGAGATCAATCCTCTTCACACGGGTGGGTCGTCTTCTGTCGGGTGGAACAAACCAAACACAACAGCAAACAGGATGAGAAGCAGTACTGTCGTGATGAATAAACCGATCACTGCCAGGCCCCCCTTCTCCCAGGGGTTCTGCCAGAACTCATCCTTCCAGACTGACTTCTGCACTATTATTTGGTCCATGTGAACCTGGAAAAGAGGGACAGAGGTCCTGAGTGCAGGGGGCTCTCCAAGGCCCTGTCCCAGACGCTGTGCTCCCCTTCTCGACTTCAGCCCCTGTAGCAGTCTTGGTGAACAGCTGGCCCTCCTCTGCAGCCGGCCGACACACAGGGATTGCGAGTCTTTGGGCTCAGTGCCTCCAACAAGCAACAAATGGAGTTTCCTCCTCTATAGAAATAGAAGCAGGAAGTGGCGCAAAGGGAGGGGCCCTGGATTCTCCAGTCGTTTTTTCCTGAATAGCCCCAATGTGAGCAAGGACTTTCTCTCTTATCCCTGAGACCTACTCAGCTAGAATCAGAAAAGTACCACTCTAGATCCTATTTTTCCTGCCCCAATTGCCAAACACTTGGGAGGCATTCTGAGAGATCAGTTTAGGAGCCACGGCGTGGACTGACTTTGGCTGAGGCCGTGGTAAACTTCCTTGGAGGCAGCTGAAAACGGAAGGACTAACTCACCTTGAAATGGAGCTAATATCGAGCCTGCAGCCAGTTGAAGGGAGGACAGGTGATGAGGGAAGGAGGCATTACCTGATTTTGCTGTTGACAGTCCTGTGTCCCACGAGGGCAAATCAGGGTAGTCCTTCAGGCCCCGCACGTTAGGGGGGCAGCCTGAGCTGAAGGCCTGCCAGGTGACCAGAGCTGCACCGACTCAAAGAAGCAACTGTTGAGAGGAAAAGGTATCGGCCTTGCCAAGTGGCCCTGGCCAGACCACTGCCGACACCAAAGCAAACAAAGGTGGGCTGGGCTGGTTGCCTGGTAACCACGGTTCCCATTTTGCCTTTCACGCTCCCCCCAGCTGCGTTCCGCCCTTTTGTGATGTCATTTGGGGGGGCACTCAGGACACATGTATTAATGAGTCCTTCCTGACAGATGCCAGAATGGGGTGGGGTAGGGGAAGAGACTGTATCCAGGGCCTTTGCCCTGGGCCACCTGTCCCCCTCACCTGTGGCTGGGCCTTTGGCTCTCCTCTGTCTAGATGACCTGTTGACTGCTTGGGACCTGCCCGGAGCTCGGGAATCGCTGGGGCTGGGACTGCCACATAGGCATTGCTTCCTGTGGTGCAGGGTGAATGATTAACTGCAGCCCCAGCTGGCACCTCCTGGAACCAGTCTCTGGGTGGAAATGTTTATCACTGTTGAGACCTAGCTTCTCCCTGTGCCTTCGTCTGCCTCTTAGGCACGGCCTCAGCTGCTCTGTGTGCTTGGCTCCTACCTACTGGTGCCTTAGGGAAGCTAGGAAGAGGGAATAAAGGCTGTGCCCTGGGGCCGGGCACGGTGGCTCACGCCTGTAATCCTAGCTCTCTGGGAGGCCTAGGCGGGCGGATTGTTTGAGCTCAGGAGTTCGAAACCAGCCTGAGCAAGAACGAGACCCCATCTCTACTAAAAATAGAAAGAAATTAATTGGACAACTAAAAATGTATAGAAAAAACTAGCTGGGCATGGTGGCATATGCCTGTAGTCCCAGCTACTCGGGAGGCTGAGGCAGGAGGATCGCTTGAGCCCAGGAGTTTGAGGTTGCTGTGAGCTAGGATGACGCCACGGCACTCTAGCCCGGGCAACATAGTGAGACTCTATCTCAAAAAAAAAAAAAAAAGGCTGTGCCCTGGTGCTTGAAACACGGTGGCCACCATTCACTCATTTAAAAGGTAGGATGTGAGGGTCTGCCGTGGTGGGAGCTGCACTACTCACTTGGGAGACAAGAGGCAGGCGCCACCCTCAGAGAGCTTCCCCTCTGGCCCGAGGGTCGTCAAGCCTGCTTGTTAGAATCTGGGAGTTTGTAGAAATGCCCAGGCCCCATCTCACACCACGTACATCATTCTCTGGGGATGCCAGAGCACCGTGTTGTTTTAAATCTCCCCAGGTGATTCTCCCCAGGTGTAGGCAGGATGGTGAGCAAGCTCAGGAAAGTCGTCCTTAACTGTCATGCGCTGAATTGGCCCCGGCTTACCTGATGCTTTCCATGTCCTTGTGTGAAACTTACTAATGCCCCTGGCACGCGGCGCACTCACAGCGGGCAGGCTGGTCTCCAGTGCGCCTTGTCCTTCTGCTCCGTCAGTTAAGTCAGATGCTTATCAAGAGTGAGTTGTTTGTTCCCAAACCTGCTTACGGTAGTTGTACTTGTTATTGTAATTACATAATCGAATTTGACATCACATGATCAAATGAAGCAACAGTAATAGCCGAAACACCAATTTTACAGATGGGGAATAGGCACAGAGAGGTTAAATAACTTACCCAAGGTCACTCAGCTAGTAAGTAACTGAATTGGGATTTGAACCCAGCTGGACACAGAGTATGGGGTCTGAAGCACTATGCCATACCTCACAGTGAATGAAGGAAGTTGTTGTTTCTATAAATACATATTTGACCACTTAGGGATGACTTTGGAATCATTCAAGTAATGTTCCTGTCAGAAAAAATGCAGACATGGTAACTAAATATTGGGGACATTTTGTGAAAATCCAGAATGATTTCACACTCAGATTCCTTTGCAAATGCCTTTAAGTTCTTGGGCACATGTGTGTAAAGTTCTACTTTAAAGAAACCAAAACTATAAAATAGACCATACAGGAACTTTGGTTAGCAAGCCATACTCAGAGGAAAGACCCTGGCCCTACGCCAGAAAGACTGGCCGAGGAATGCGCACATATGTGTTTCAATTTAAAATGAGATGTGTTGCCAGGGGCCGTGGCTCACGCCTGTAATCCCAGCACTTTGGGAGGCCGAGGTGGAAGGATTGCTTGAGGCCAGGAGTTCGAGACCAGCCTTGCAACATAGCAAGACCCCTCTCTACAAAAAATAAACAAATTAGCTAGAGGTGGTGGCGTGCTCTTATAATCCCAGTAACTCAAGAGGCTGAGGCGGGAGGATCACCTGAGCCCAGGAGTTCAAGACTGCAGTGAGCTGTGATTGCACCACTGCATTCCAGCCTGGGTGACAGAACAGGACTCTGTTTCTAAAAAAATAAATAAAAATAAAGTAAAATGAGATATGAAAAAAAATTAAAATTGAATAAGATATGTAGAGAATTTAGGTGTCACGTACACAAAAGTTGCTTTAACTGGCTTTTTCAATTAACTGCTGGCCCCAGTCCGATAATTCTACCGTAGTGGTCACTATAAAGAGACCCACGTGGCAGGAGAGGTGGAGGACGCTGTTGGTACAGCTGGTACAACCTGGTCTGGGGGCTGAGGTGCTCCCTGTGGAAGGAAGGGATTTTCAAGTTGAGACATGAAGGCTGTGTACGAGTCAGAATTAGGGGACATTATTGTATGGTAGGGAACAGGTCCCAAGGACAGCAAAGAAACTTTTTTTAAAAGACAAAATTAATTTGTTCTCAGTTTTTTATGATCTGGAATTTGTATTACCCAGGAGCAAATATGTTGTTATGAAAATTTTTATTACAGATTGCTTTAAAGTATTAATAATGTTTAAGGAAACAGATTTTGGAGAAAATGCTCTCTGCCAAGTTTTGCTAATGAGATTCTTGCATCGGTGGCTTTATTGTAGTTTTTAATAAGGCGTAACGTAGAGACAGTAAACACAGGTCTTCAGTGTAGAGTGAGGCCCTTCTGAGGAGCAGAGCAGACTGCTGTGTGCCACGGTCGCGGTGGGTGTGAAGAAGCTGGTGAGACGATTGTGGAGACGGCTTAGGATGCTGCCACAGTGACCCCAGGCACGCATCGGTGGTGGCTTGGTCCAGGATGGCTTAGTGGCGGGAACAGAAACGTGGTGGCCAGAGTCAGTCAGATGCTCTCTAGGCCTAAAACAGCCTGATGGCCACCCCTTCCCTGGCCCCCGCCCGTCTTCAGACAGCCCAGGTTTGCGCATCTTTCTCTGTTCTCTCCTGTGGGGGTGTGGGGGGATTGCTGCTCCTCTCCATGCCTGTCTTCCCCAGAGAAGACCTGCTGCCCATTCCAGGAGTGGGCCAGGCTGCTGCTGGGCCAGAGCAGATCTGGTTTGTTGGTCTGAGTGGGATTGAGGCCTGCGTGGGATTTAGCGCGACAGCTGGGCCCAGGATGTGCCAGTTTGCTGTCAGTGGGAGGGGTAAGTCCTCTGAGGGCAGGGACCACATCCTGTGTGGACTCAGCAGCGTGGACTGCCTGGTGTGGAACAGGAAGGTGCAAATGAGCCAGCCGGTCTGCCTGTCTGTGCCCAGGGCTGTCCGTGGTCCCCACCTGACAGCAGCTGGACTGGGGAATCAGAATCATTCCTAGCAGAGCCTCAGCCGCTGCCACCCTGAAGGACGGCCACTCTTGATGCCTAAGGAAAAGTCACACAGGAATTGGGCTGCTTCACTGTTGCAGCATGTCCTGAACAGAGGGCTTCCAGGGACTGGCTAGCCATTGGTGCTGGGAGTGAAAAAATGCAAGGCTTCCTGTCCCTCCCCCTTTCCTGTGTTTTTCTTCTGGGAGGGACACCTTGTTGGGCTCCACCCCACCTCTTACCTGTCGGGTCACACCCTCTCCCATGGAGGTTATTTTGAGACAGTTTGGGGTGTGGGTGTTTGTGATGGCGTTGGTTGATGGAGGATAATGGATCAGAGCCTTATCTGTCTTGCAACCTGGTGGCCAAGTTCCAGGCCTCGGAGCCTTGGGTGGGGTGAGCCAGGGCTGGGGAGCCAGACAGGTTGGACTCAGAGGCTGGCTGTGCCACTTTTCAGCTGGTTGAACTTAGACAAATCACCTAGTGTCACTAATGCTCAATTTCCTCATCTCTAAAATGGGGATAATGTATCTACAGCATGGAAGTATTGTGATGATTAAATGAATTCATCTGCATTAAAATGCTGAAGACAATGCCTGAGCATGTATAAGCCCTCAGTGAATTTTAGCCATCATCATTGTTGTTGTCATTCTGAGCCCCATTCTTTGGAGGAAGCCAAGAACAAACAGTTTCTTGAATTTCTTTTCTCTTTTTTCCTACGGGACACTTGTTCTCTGGGTCTTCAACCCAAACCTGTCAGACAAGTCCATGGACACCAGGAAATGAAACCAGCCAGTGAGAGCTTCTGCCCTGCCTGCCCCTGCCAGTGTGTCAGGGGCTGGCATTGCCACTCCATGACCTGTTTTCTGGGTAGACAGGGCTCTGCTCCCAGGAAGCCAGAGCATGGGTCGCATGGGCAAGGTGATGGAAGCCTGTGAAAGACAGACTTCTTTATGGCTCTGGGGAACCCGTGGGGAGGTCCCGCAGCTCCATCCTGGCCCTGTTGGCATTTATGGAGCCTCGTGCCTCCTCTACCCTCATTCCTGGTCTGTAGCTCTAGCTGGAAAGTTCTCTGGAAGAGGAAGTAAACTGAAGGGAGGGAGGATGGAAGGGTGTTGCATCTCAGCAGGACCATTCTTTAAAATGGATCCATGTTGCTCTGGTTTGGTCCCTTGTTTAGAGGGGCAAATAATGACAGTTCATATTTATGGCACTGTTAGGATATGCCCAGCACCATGCTGTGCTAGACCTAGGTCTGAGATGTTTATCCTCACAGTGCACCCCAGGAAGCAGTGTCAGGATTAGCCCCATTTCACCAGGGAGGAGACGTGGCTTGGGGAAGTTGAGTCACACAGCTAAGTGGCAGGGTGAAGTGTGAGCCCAGACAGGCAGCACATGATGGGGGAAGGGCCCAGGGTTAGGGTGCAGGTTGTGGATGATACTAGGGGCCTAACCCGCTCTTACTTCAGAAGTCTGGGAAGGCACACTGGCCTGAGCCTGCTAGTGTGGGATGTGCAGCCAAAGTTACTGCTAGTGGAAAATGTTGAGTGGCGTCCCTGAGCCTCGCACCTAGCCTCTGTCACTCTGCAGCTTGTTAACAACTAACGCTTGGCAGGAGTTTCACTGCACCCCTCCCCCATGTCCGTGGCATTACCGCCTGCATGGTTTTCCAGTTTTTGTGGGCACGGAGAGCAGAGGCCCGGAAAAGGCAGGTGCTGGCCACGCCCCTGGAGTTCTGGCACACCGTCCGACCTCCGAGAGTCTGGTGCCACGGAAACACAGAAGCAGAGAGTTTTTACTTGGAAGTAAACAGGCTGATACCGGACTAGAATACTGCCAGGTCCTGGGAGCTCGTAGTGCAGTCGCTCGTGCACAGTGTCCCCCTGGTGGACTTGCTCCTCCTCAGCGTGGCCAGCTCCCCACAGGCGTGGGCCATTCTCCACTGAGGTATGGGGCCCCTGCTTTCTTAAAAAGTGCAGGTTGACAAAGAATCCCAGGTGGTTTACTCAGTCTTTGGAACTGTCGATGCCTCCTCAGCACCCAATGTCCACTGGTGGATAGTTCTGTGCCTGTACCAGCCCTTGTTTCCTTGATAAGGCTCCAGGGGTCAGTGTCCAGGGCCAGGGCTTGGGCCAGGGGATCCTTGTCTTGAGGGGCGAGGGCTGCAGGGCCAGGCGGATCGCCTGTGTCATGGCTTTGGCAGGCTTCTCCTCGGCCATCGCCCCGACCCTCATGCTGGGGACATGGGCTGCACTTGGACCTTCCTGCCCCTCCGCTCGGGGCAGCAGCAGTGAGTGCAGCAGCAGCTGCAGGCTATCAGCAGCAGCATCAGAACGGTGGCTGGAGGGCGGAGAGAGCGCAGGGCACTCAGGAGTGGGGGATAGAAAGGATGCCCCCCGGACGTGTGCTGGGGCTTTTCCCTAAGCTCTAGGTTAGTGGTTAGAAAGAACCAAGAGGCTGGCGAGAGGTATTGATAGTCCTCCTGCCGGCTGCGAGGGCCGACCTCCAACCCCTTCCCTGTTGTGTCTCCTCCTCCACTGCCCAGGCCGGCTCCCTTCATCCCTGGGTTGGGATCTGAGAGGCTGCTGGGCCCAGGTCCCAGCACTGCTCATCACCCGAGCAGCATGTCAGAGGATGCGGGGAAATCCCTTGGCTTCCCCAAACGGGACAGCTGCTTTTTTCTTCCTTGATCTGGGGGACACCTGCCACCTCTGCCTGCCTGCCCTCTGGCTAGCACCATGGTGTCATCTCTCCCAGATGCCAGGAAGAGCCATGGGGCACTGAGGAGAGTCTGAGTGACCCAACTGACCTGTGAAAAGGAGGATGACCGAGAAGGCCACGATCTCCACAGGGTCGGCCTGGGGCAGCCTCTGTAGCTTGAGCAGCAGCCTCTCGCCCACAGAGCGCATCTCCTGCACGAAGTTGGTGGCTGCCATGCTGCGCTGGCTTCCTGCTGGGGCAGAGAGAACACCTGGAGTCTCCCGTGGCTGGCTGTACACAGCACCAGAGATTCCACCCTCTCACCCACCCGCAGCCTGAAGAACAAGTTTGGCAGGTCTCACGCATCATCACACCCTAGTGGCTTCCGCTCAGTGGTGGCCCTCAGCCCCCATCTAGCTGATACTGCCCAGAGTGAGAGAAGCTGGTGATGAGAGTGAGACTGGGGGCCTGCTTCGAGGGGGATGCTTGGCAGAGCTGAACTCTGCAGGGCTCTGCCAGCCAAGGTTGAGGTTGGTGATGGTTTCTGACCACAAGGTGGAGTGACTTTGCTGTTACATTCCTTTGTCTCGAGACACTACTCCTAGGTTTTGCCAGAGTGCCTTGGACTTGCACAGCTCCCCTGGGTCATTCAGGATTTGGGTGCCTCCCCCGATTCCCTTGGGGTGGGGAGACTTGCTTCAGGATTCCAACCTGCTGCTCTTGCCTTTTGTCATATGTGTGGGCGGGGGATCAGGTTCTTCCAAGAGCAGGTTCGTGGGGGTTTCTGACCAGGGTCAGCTGTAGGTGAGAACTGTCCCCTAGGGCACCTCACCTCTCCCACTAGCCCAGTTTCTTTATTCATGGTTTGTTCTCCTGTGAGGAGGAAGAGACCATACTGTGTCCCTCCAGTTTTTGCCAGGGGGCCCTGTGTGTCAGGATGAGATTGGGAGTCCCAGGACTGGATTAGCCAGCTCTCCCCTGCTTCTCTGGGCTGACTTGAAGTCCTCTGTGTTCCCACCCCTGCCCCAGGGAAGCCTCTTCCTGTCTAGGGGCGCCCAGGAGGCCTGAGGTGCAGCTCCAGCAGAGTCTGTGAGTTGGGGCCTGTTGTACATCAGAGCTTCTTTCCCCTGCCGCCTCTCTGGTAGGCACGAGGGAGCCAGTGCCTCTTCAGAGAGGAACAGGGACAGCCTTGTGCTAACCCAGCCTGAACTAGTTCACCAAGGCTCTAATCTGGGGAGGTGCTGGAGTTGGGGGACAGGTGGCCACGGGCTCACGCCAGGCCTTTGGCTGTAATTATGGCTGCCTCATTCCTGGTCTCAACTGGTTCTCCCCAGATGGCTGCGGTCAGCAAAGCTGGTCCCTCCTGATGCTCCTGCCTCAGCAAAGCTCATTTAGAACCACCTTGAAGGTCATGTACCCTGCACTTGGCTTGCTGCCCTCCTATGGCCGTTCAGCCCTTGCTTGCCCCACCTGCTAAGGCAGCCCACCCCATTGCAGAAGGTCAGACCCCTGCTGACCTCCAGTTAGCCCCACTGTGGTCACTGAGGACCTTGCCACCCTTCTGCCTCTCAGTCCTTCAGGAAGTGATGGCAGCTGGCATAAATTTGCTTTTCTACAAGGTAACTTCTCTAGTTTTCTAGAACATTGCTCTGATCCTCCTGGACTTAAGTGCTGCCTCCCCTTCCTCCTTTGTGACAAGGACGAGTTGCTTCCTCTCTCTGACGTGGGGTGAGATGCCCATCTTTCCCAGCCATTGGGAGGACTGACCATCTAGCAGCATGTGGTAAAGCCACAGGGAGGTGCACAGCACGTGTGAGTGCCCCTCTGGGTGGGGTCTGGCCAGTGCCAGGACCGTCGAGGCAGCCTTGGGTCTCCCTGGCTTTGGGAGCTGTCTCCCCCACCCCTAAACACCTTTTAGGCATTTTATCTGTCTTCCACTTCAGGGGTGTTCACTGCGTGTGTGCTGAAGGAAGGTGGGTAAGCTGAAGATTGGGAGCTATTTTTTTAAGTGACAACAGAGGTGGCAGGCAGATGATGACTCTGTGGAAAATTAGATGATTTCCTACAAAAGTGGGAGGTTCCCTGAGTTAGATCCTCTCAACTTCTCTCAGCCTCACCTCCACGTTAGCACATTTCTGCAGAAGGATTCCATGTACTAAGAAGCGTAGAATCCTGGAATGCCACAAGTCATCCACTCCTGCCGCCTTCCTTTTACATATGGGGAAACTGTGACCTGAGAGAGTGAGTGACTTCTCTGAGGTCACATAGCAGGACGGGGGCCGGTCAGCACAGAGAGTGACCCACACTCTCTCTCCACGGAGGCCTGTCTTGGGCTCTGGCAGCAAGATAAGTCGGCCCAGGAGCAGCCCAGAGGGTGCCGCCCATGCATGGGCTTGGCACAGGAGCCAGGGCCCCAAGCCCTCTGGAAGCAGTTGGCTGTGCTAGGCCAGCCCCACCTCACACTCGTGGGTCTGGAGCTGCTTTTATCAGCACATCACTGCCAGGCCAGGGCCATACCAGGCTTTTTGAGAACTACCTGTAGTACTTGTCACCAACGGGACAGATCTTGTGTGCCCTGCTAGTCCGAGCATTGGACTGCCACCTCTGGTCAAATCGAATGGGACCCTCCCTCTGGCCAAGTGAAGCAGGCTTGCAGAAGGACGCTGGTCTGCTCGCTTGTGTCAGAAGCTCTGCCATCCCTACTCCCCAGGTTTCTGGGTGGTCTCATTCTTAGAGGAAGAAGAGAAGATGCCGACTAATGCCTGGGGACAGTTTCCATGGGTTTGGAAGCTGGGCTGCTTCTCTCCCCACCGTCTTCATCTGTACTTGGTCTGGCTTTTTCAGCCTAATTGGTGCTGTGCCCACATTGCCTAATGTAACCCAGCAAACACTCCTTAAAAGAGGAAGCGGGCAGGAGGTGGGAGGGCAGGGAGAGCTCTTTCACTGTGCGCTGCACCCAAAGACCGGGAGAGATTGTAGCGGGTTCCCCCCTTGTGAGCGAGAAGCAGTGGTGGGAAGACCCAGGGCTGTCTGAGAGTCGTGGCTCTCCAGAGCAGGGAGGTACACGGTTGGGTTGAGGCTGAGTTTACTATGCAGGAAGAGCAGAGTTCGTTGATCAGAAGCTTTGGCTATAAAGCCAGCCTCCTCCAGGGGCTGTGAAGTCGGAAGGCTGCAAACTCGTGCCTGGGCCACTCTGGGAAGGGTGTCATTCCATACCAGCACAGGCCCCGGTGTGGACAGCATCATAGCTTTGCACCCAAGTCTTCCCTAGGGGACCAACTGGGAGCTGAATTCGCCAACCAGGCTTGGCCAGGATCACTCAGCCCTGGGGTCTGACCCAGGGCTGCTCACCGTGACCAGGAGCGAGGCCATCGGACCTGGCTGTTGCATCCCCAGGAGCGGAAGAGGAGCCCTCTTTGCTTTACAGTTGATATTTTGTCATTTTGAACTTCAGCTTGTGACTGAGCAGAAAGAGTCTTAATGGGGAATGTGGAGGCACTGAGGGGTCTTGTTCTCCAAGGAGGAGGCACATTCCAACAAGTTCCCAGGCTGTCTTCCCAGTGGGCTATTTAAAGCAAGGCCAAGGGAGTGCCTGATGCCTGGTGCCCAATATAACCAGCAGCCGTCAGGTGACCTTGTGGCATGTGCCCCAGCCGTTGATCCAAAGGGAGCCCTAAGTGTTCCCAGCTGTGGGAGCTCTCGAGCTGCCACCTCTCATCTCTGTTACCTTCCCAGGTTGGAAGGAGGAAGGCAGGGAAGCCTGGTGGGGCTACTGATAATTCTGTATTTGTTTAGTCTTTCTATCTCAGACTTCTTCTAAAACTGCACTTCCTGCCAGTGAACCAGGGAAACCAGAATTCCTCCCAGCCTCATGCTCTTTGTAGTGCCTCGTTTGGGGCTTCTCAGGATCTTCAGAGGTTCCTGGGTGGCAGCCAGAGCAAGTGGTGGCTTCCCCTGGCCCCAGAAGGGAGAGGAGCCCAGCTACCATGGGGCCTCCTGCCGCCAAGGCCTCCTGGGCAGCTCTACTCAGCGCCTTCAAGGGTGCACCCTGGCCAGAGTGGCAGCCAGCAGAAGGGAGACGCAGGACAGAGAAGGCTGGCAGTGCTGGAGGGATGGGAAACATTCCTTTATGTGGCGTGGCCTGGCACAGAGAGCCTTGCAATGGAGAGGCAGGCATCCTGCAGGCACAGCACCACTGGGCACCCGGGCTTCCCTCTCCCTACCTCTCAGAACTGATACTCCAACTCTGGGCTCCCCATGTGCTGGCGTGTTTGAGACTGATAAGCGCTGATGGCCAGGGCCCCACAGGGCTTCTTTTTTTTTTTTTTTTGAGACAAGAGTCTCGCTTTGTTGCCCGGGCTAGAGTGAGTGCTGTGGCATCAGCCTAGCTCACAGCAACCTCAAACCCCTGGGCTCAAGCAATCCTTCTGCCTCAGCCTCCCGAGTAGCTGGGACCACAGGCATGCGCCACCATACCCGGCTAATTTTTTCTATATATTTTTAGTTGTCCAATTAATTTCTTTCTATTTTTAGTAGAGACGGGGTCTCGCTCTTGCTCAGGCTGGTTTCGAACTCCTGAGCTCAAACAATCCGCCCGCCTCGGCCTCCCAGAGAGCTAGGATTACAGGCGTGAGCCACCGCGCCCGGCCCCCACAGGGATTCTTGCTCTGCCCCTGCTGTTTTGTCATGGTGGGTGTCAGCCCCCCTTTCCCTGCGGTGTTATCTTGTTTGAGGACCAGCTAGAAGGAGGCACAACCCACAGTTGTGGGAGATCTGTGCTCAACCAGCAGGGTGGAGATGCCCTCTGTGCACTGCGCCGAGCCTTTGGATGACTCCCTTTTCTGCCCTGGCTCTTACTTGAAGGAGAAGGTGGTGCTTGAACCCTGGGCAGTCCCTGCTCCCTAAGTCCTGGAGCCTCCCAGGACAGGAGAAGGCACTTCCTGCTGCTGGGGATTGTTAGAAACAGGAGTAGCTCCTTTCGTACAGCCGCAGAAGCTGGGTGTTCCCTTGTGTCCTGCTCAGGGACTATGTTGGAGGGACCCTGTCCACCTGTGTCCTGTGGATGCAGAGACATGGGATCTCTGCCTGCCTGCCTGGGGTGTCTTTTGGGTAAGAGGCAGTGGGGTGGGAAGGCTCACCACTGTGCCACTCCTTCACCTGGCCTGACCTGCTGCCTCGGGTCCCTTCCCTGTGCCATGTACTTCTCAATGCCACAGGAGTTGGTCCCCTAGCCACC